TGCTGACAAGGTTAGGGCAAGCAGACAAAGAGCAGAAGCTTCCCTCTTCCATGTCCTTAAACAGGCTTCCAGCAGGAAGTGTGGCCCAGATCAAAGGTTTGCCTCCCCCCACCCCAAGACCCAAATTAAAGGGCATGTATCTTCCCACCTCAAGATCCGGATTAGAAGTGGATCTTCCTACTTCAAATCAAGCAAAAAAAAAAAATCCCTCACTGGTGTACCCTCCATTTTTGGATTTTAGTTAATTTCAGATGTAGTCAAGCTGACAACCAAATAGCAGGTCATAGTTAGAACTCAGATGGAGTGCCCTTCTAGAAGTTCAGTCCTAGGACTCTGGGTTATGGTTCTAGTCAAGAGGCCAAGGCCAAGGACTGGTCAGAGGACAACTATGGAGCTATTCTTATTCAAACCACCATGAACAGACAGTCCAGTAGCATTAAGTAGATTTATACCACTGGGTACCCTCACTACTGTCTCTCTCAATTTTTCTTCTTCCCAAACCAAAATTCTGTACCCATTGAACAAACTCTCCCTTCTGGACTCCTCTAGGCCATGACAACTCCCATTCTCCTTTCTGCCTCCATGAGTTTATGACTAGGTAACTTACAGAAGTGGAATCTGATTTCACTTGGCCTAACATCCACAATGAAATATGCGTTCGAATTTCCTCTCTTTAAAAGCTGAATGGTACTCCATTGTGAGTTAGTTTCTTTACTTGATCATCTCTCAGTGGGCATTTTGGTTGCTCCTAATTCTGCCTGTTGTGAATGATGTCACTGTGAACATGGATGTGTGAAAATATGAGATTTGCTTTCCGTAGGCTCTTATGTGTGCATATGTATATGTGGGTGCTCAGGTGTGTTGTATGCTTGTGTACATGGGTGTGTAGATCTGAGAACAACCTCGGTGTCATTTCTCAAGTCCTTTTCTACTATTTGTTTGAGATACGATCTCTTATTGGCCTGGAACTCACCAAGTAGGCCAGGCAGACTGGCCTGTGAGCTCCAGGGATCTGCTTGTCTCTGCCTATCTCGAGACTACTGGGTTTACAAGCATCTACCATCATGCCAGCTTTTGACATGGATTCTGTGAGCAAGTGTTTTATCTATTTAGCTATCTCCCCAACCTTCCAGTGGTTTCTTAAAGCCACATGTGGCTTGTGTGACTCTTTCTTGAGTTCTTGGCTATGAGAGAAAGTTGAGCTGGGAGACAGGGCTTTGGTGCTGCTCCTATTGCCACAAACCTCAAAGTCCCTGGGGCAAGTCACACACCATCTCTGAGTCACAGTCCCTCTACCTGTTAGCCAGGGAGGTCCTTGTACTGCTTAGTGAGCCATTTTATAGTCTGGCCTGGAGCACTCAGCCTCTGGCTTTTACTTCCTCGTAGGTGGGATTAGGAGTGAGTGGCCCTTGTGTATAGAAACCTATCACACTGAGCAGACATGAATTTGACCCTCAGACATGGAGAGGTCAGCCTTTGGGAACCGTCCACGCTGCAGCCAGCATCCACCTTACCGAGAGGCTGCCCCGCTAGGACTCGTGACGGAAGGAAAAGGCAGTGTGAAAACCAGAAGCATGATGGTTCTCACAGAGTAGAAGGAAAAGCAGCCTGCTCGGCTCCACAGCAGCCCCGCCAGGCACGTGCGCCACCACAGTCTTGACAGAAACAAGCCACCCTGATTTATAACATGTCAACGTGTGTCACAGCATCAGCAGTCTTGCTTATGAAAAGAGAAAGCTTCGGAGGAGCTTGAGAATGTGGCTTAAAGGAGGGTGCATAAACATTTCCAGGAAGGAGCAGAGGCAAGGGCACCAGCATGGCTGTTAGACCAAACTGATTTTCAAGTAAGGACTGGTTTGAAAATTTTAAGCCATGTTTTTCTTGGCAAAAGGCACCGTTCACAGGCACAGTCGGGCCAGCTGCCTGACTCCTGGCAGGCAGGATTCCTGCTCAGCTCCAGGAGGTGTGGAGGTGCAGAGGCACAGGCCTGGCAGAGGAGATTCCCTGACAAAGGGCACCTCCCTTTTCTTAGTCATGACTAAGTCACATGAAGAGTCCATCAGAGAACAGGCAGAGAAGATGGGTAAAGGAAGCCTCCAAGAGCTGATAAAGACGTGAAGGAGGGCCAGCCAGATGGCTCAGAGGACAGAACCACTTGCTGCCACACCTGCCTATGTAGCTAGAGTTTTCCTGCCTGGCCCACAGTCAGGACAAATCTCTCTCACCTGCCAGTCCCACAGCCGCTCAGACCCAACCAAGTAAACACAGAGACTTATATTGCTTACAAACTGTATGGCCATGGAAAGCTTCTTGCTAACTGTTCTTACAGCTTAAATTAATCCATTTCCATTAATCTATACCTTGCCACGTGGCTCGTGGCTTACTGGCATCTTCACATGCTGCTAGTCATGGCAGTGGCTAGCAGTGTCTCTGACTCAGCCTTCCACTTCCCAGAATTATTCTCCTCCTTGTCCCACCTATACTTCCTCCTGCCTGACTACTGGCCAATCAGTGTTTTATTTACTAACCAATCAGAGCAACACATTTGCCATACAGAACATCCCACAGCATGCCCACCTGAGTTCGGACCCCAGAACCCACATGGTGGAAGGAGAGAACCATCTCCTTTACGTGTGCACTGTGATTCACACACACACACACACACACACACACACACACACACACACACACACACACACACACTCAATAAATAAATGTACTCTTTTTTGAAGACAGGCAGATGAGGTGCAGGCAGGCAATGGAAAGAAGATGTCAGCTGGTCCCCATGACACAGTGGGGTGCTGCAGTGCACCAAGCTGACAGTCTAACTAATAGCCACTGCAGACTGCGAACGCCCTTCCTGTCAGTTCCGGGAAATACAGCCCTGTTGGCATAGTTCCAGGAAACAATAAATGTTTTGAAAGAAAAGAGGGGCTATCAGGATAGTTAATTTTGTTCAAGATTGTGGAATGAAAACAGATGAAGAGAAAAATGGCAATAAAAGTGAGGATAAAAAGGAACAGAGTGAAAGCAGACATACACTATAAAATAATATTTCTCCAAACACAGAAACGGGAAAACCTTGATGAAATGTATTTGGGGGCAGTGCAAATGAAATACTTGTGGTAGGTAGAAACGTGATGGGACAGTGGTCCTCAAGGTCACTGCTTCAGCAGCTCCAGGCCCAGGCGCTCCAGGTTAGGGCTTTACCATCAGCTGTGTCCTCTGTTGGAAAATGAGGGTTTGAGTAAGGTGTTTGCATAGGTAGCATGCCTCATTTCCACAGTCAGACAGCTGCCCTGCAGGACAGCTCAGGTTTGAATTTTGACCACACACAGAGAAGACCCAAGTCAAATGGTAAGTTGAAAAAGAGCCTGAGGGTGGTGGCAGGTGTCTGCGGACTTGGCCCTCAGGGCTGGAGTGGGAGGAGTGGAAGGCAAACAAAGGCAGCCTGAGCCACCGGGACCCCATTTCACACAGACAAAGAGGAAGGAGGAGGAAGAAGAGGAGGAGACACCATCGTTCTTTCCCTTGTTCCTCTGGCCTGCTTGCTCACGTCTCTGCAGACAATGTAGAGGTCTTTTGTACAGTCAAAGCTTTGCTGCAAATCAATAAAGGAAGGCAGATAGAAAAGTTTAAAAGGAGACAGAGATGACCACAGATTCCCAATCTTAGTTTCTAAAGGTTCTGGGTTAGAGGAACAGACTTATCTCTGAGATGGTGAATGAAAAGTGATTCTCACATGAGGACCAGATTCCCAGACCCGAAAGGAAGCCAGTTCCAGCAGCGGGCATATGTAACCCTTGCTCTTCTAGAGCAGGATGGAAGGAGAGAGGAGAATCCCCGGAAGCGGCTGGGGCGGGCTCTTCTGGTGTATGCATTGGGAACAAGAAATTCTGCCTCAAACAAGGTGGGGTGAGGACATGAAATTGTCCTTTGACCCCACATGTGTGCTGTGTATAGCACGTGAGTGCCCAGTGAGTGCCCGTGTGCACACAGGGAAGGGAAAGAGAGAGAAAACGAAGGGGAGGGGACGGGAGGGGAGAGGAGAAAGAGAAAGAAAGATAGTGCATGAGGAGGGCCTTATTCAACCCATTCCCGGCCATCTTCTTGCTGCCTTGTTCCCAGCTGGGACACCTGGAAAGGCCTCTGGGACAGCTCAGGGCATTCCCTTGATAGGGGTGGGGGTGGGGGGGGGGGGGGGTGGGGGGGAGTAGCAGGATTTCTGACTCCCCCAGCTTGAATGGCTCTCAGGAGCAGCCTGCACCCCATTCTCTCACAGCAAGAAAGCAGGTCCTTAGGGTTACCTTCCTCAAAGAAGCTGCTCTGGCCTGCAGAATGCAGAATTCAGAATTCTGGACACAGGAACCATCTTGGCTTGACACAGACATTCTAAGTGTGGAGAGAGCTGGGTCGTTGGTCCATACGCATTTCATGACAACTGTTCCGGGGACACTCTGGAGTCTGGACCGCCTGGCTGTCACTCCTGAGTCTTTTGGAATTTCCTGCTTTAAAGGGCATAGGACTATTCTCTTCCCTCTACCTCGGCTCCTGTGATTCAGATAATTACGGATTTAACTGCTCTCTTCCCCCATGAATCACCTGGCTTCTTAGAATGTGTGTCACTGTCTAGAAAGACTAGGGTATTAGAAGGGGCAAGCTGTGTGGACAGAGAAGTGTTTCCCCCGAGGATCTGGGCACAGGTCTGGGATCTCCATGACATTGGAGCTGATTCTGTGCGTTGAGACAGGGGAATGCTGTTCACACAGTCTCTCTCTGACTTTGGCACAGAAATTAAATGCTGCTTTGGGGATTCCAACAGACTACAGGACATAGCATTTCCACATCACGCTCTCTGCTCAGAGGCGAGGCCATGCTAGATGCAGAGGACCTATGGGCAGGGGTGGCTAATGTCAGAGGCAGCCCTTTCAAAGCTTGGGGGAGATGATGCGGGAGTCCCCCAGACTCCGCTGGTCTGATGGCGTTTGCTGTTTCTGCAGGTCACCACAGCTGCCTTGTCACTGGTGCTGTTTGACGTGATCCTGACCCGTGCAGCTGTGGGATGGTAAGTCCTCTGGAGAGAAGACACAGATTCATTGATTTCTCCTCAAATGAAGCAGGAATGTGTGTTGGGCAGATGTCTCCAGCCTAAGAAAAGTTTTGTATTAGTGAAGTCTTCCCTGTTTTATTTAGTTGATGATTGATTGATTGATTGATTGCAGTACTGGGGCTTAACCACAGTGCCTCGTGTGCTAGGTAAGCACTCTCCTCTAACCTACACCTCACACTGTAGCCCAGGTTGGCCTTGAACTTGTATTAATCCTCCTGCCTCAGTCTCTCAAATGCTGGGGTGGCAGGTATGAACAAGCAGGCCCCAATTCTTTATCTTTCAACAGTTACGAGTGTGCAAATTTACATTCAGAAGAGTACACTCTTACACAACTCATGATATACAATATTATGCACAATATTGCACAATTATAAAACATGGTCTTACATATTATATGACCTGATACATTTTCAACAACAGAAGATTCCATATCTAACTAATACTCAGTTCAGCACATCACCAGAATGCCTTTTACCCATTCACCTGCCTCAGAGTCACCACATTGATCCCGTGGTGTCTAGGGAGAGAATGATTGGCTGCCTCAGAAGCCAGTATTCTTACAGGTACCTGTTGTGGAATATTTAACTATGTAAAGATGTGTTATATTTGTTGATGCTAAGAAATATTACTTTAACTGTATAAAGGTGTGTTACATTTGTTTCTGCTGCATTTGTTTAACAATGTGTGTTTAATTATGTAACGATGTGTTGCATTTGCTTCACTGTGTCTGCCTAAGGCACCTGATTGGTCTAATATAAAGCTCACTGGCCAATCGACAGGCAGGAGAGAGATAGGTGGGGCTGGCAGGCGGAGAGAACACAGAGGAGGAGAAAGGGAGAATGAGAAGCAGAGGGAGGAGAAGAGAACAAGGAGAAAGAGGGGGCACACCAGGGACAGCCAGGCAGCCGCCAGACAGACAGACAGACACACAGATACAGGAAGGAAGTATGGTAAAAAGCCCCGAGGCTAAGGTAGATAAAGAGAAACAGGTTAATTTAAGTTAAAAGAGCTAGCCAGAAACAAGCCTAAGCTAGGCCCAGCATTCATAACTAATAAGAAGTCTCCGTGTCATGATTTGGGAGCTGGTTGGTGGCCCCAAAGAAAAAGCCTGGTACACCTTCCAAACCCACAGGTGTTGGTGTCTCTCACATAAGTGGTACAGTGTTTCCATTTTGCCTATTCATACCTCCTTAATTTTAAATCGTCTTTGGATTACTTAGCCTTACCCAAGCACAGCCTGGTTCTAGGGGGAAAATGTGGTGTTTTTTTTTTTTTTTTTTCTTGTTGGTACCTAAGTAATCGTGATGGCTGGTCGTTCCTGGCCACTTTGCTGGTTTTGCTTTGTGTATGCATTAGTGTGAAAAGTGGACCTGCTGAGTTGTTACCTGTTTGTCTCTGGACCACAGTGCTAGTAGGTGTGGCCAGCGTGGTGCCTGGGTTTACTCCTGTGGATGACGCCACAGACCTGGTATGTGTTAGGATCTGTGCCTCGGCTCATTCCCCTGCTGATGGCAAGGCCTTGTGTAAGTCATCCTAGGCAGACAAAAGAGCAGTTTCACTCAGCACACAGAATAACGTATCCTTGTCCTCTCTCGGGGTGACATTTCCTACCTGGAGAAGAATAGCAGAAAGAAGATAAAAGCAAAGAAACACTCCTCCACCTTCCTTCTCCTCTTCTTTTTATTTATTTACAATTTGTTGTTTTGACACAGGGTCTCACTATGTAGCTCTGGCTGTCCTGAGACTCTTTTTGTAGACCAGGCTGGCTTCGAACTCACAGAGGTCCACCTGCCTCTGCCTCCCTAGTACTGGGATTAAAGGCCTGCACCACCACCTCGCCCCTCTTCTTTTAATAATAACTATTTAGGGGACTGGGGAGATGGCTCAGCATATAAATTACTTGCAAGAGGACCCAAGTTCAATCCTTAAAACCCAAGTTTAAAAAGAACAGTGCAGTGGTTACCCAAGGTTACCCCAGTATTACCCAAGGTTGTCTTCTGGCCTCTAGATGCATGTGCACAGAAGTGCATGCATATACACACATGCACTCACATGTGCACACACATACACACAAAAATCTAACCATCTACAGAGAGGCTTCTATATGTCAACATTTTGGCATTAATATCATCTCACTTCCACAATCCTCCAAGCTAAGGATATTGTAAAAATGAAGAAGCTGAGGTTCTGAGGCATTTAAGTGATTTTCCCCCCTCCAGGATTTTATAGCTATGGGAGATTATACCAGAGTTCAAACCCAGGCTTTCCTGTGTCCAAAGCCTTATAACCTCGGACTGACTTGGGCACTATCAGACAGTGTACAGGGTCAGAGCCTGTAAGGGACACACAGGAAACTGGCTTATTCTCTTTCCACATAGTGATGTGTTATCTAGCCTTGTACTACTGTAACAAGCACTGGAGAAGGTCCACTTACAGGAAGAAAGGTTGGCTTTGGATCAGTTTCAGACATTTCCATGGTCTTTGGGCCTGGATGAGGCCGGATATCATGGTGGAGAGCATCTGATGGAGCAAGATGCTTACTTTATGGTACAACTTATAAGCGAAGAATGAGAAGGGGCTGGGGCCCCACCTACAACAGCCTACAATTTCCTCCCATTGTTCCTACTTCTTAAAGGTTCTTGCCCTTCCAGTAGTGCCACAGACTGGTGACAATATGTTTGGGCCACTTACTCAAATGATAGCAATGATCAACTGTAAAGAGCGTGGTGATGTGGAGAGTGTTTCCTGGGTAAGGCAGTGTGGTATTGTGGGGATTAACAAGGCAACTCCACGTAGTTAAAAAGGAGGTTTACTTTGGGGTAACTTACAGCCAGTAAAGGGGTTGGTTACTGGATCCAGAAGAGGTGAGGTGCAGTCCAGCGGGGTTCTCTGGAGAACTCTGCTTGGTCTGCCATCCAGCATCCAGAATCACGAGTAACCAAGAGGTCCAGCACATCCGGTTCTTGGGTCTTAAGGGCTCCCGTCTCAGCCCTGCCCCAGGGGCAGGTCATAGGTAAGCATGGCAGTTACCAGAAGCCTCACTAGGGGTAGTACTTCCAGGTCAAAACTGGAACAGCTACCCACTACATCTCCCCCTTTTGTCTAAATAAGAAAGTTCTAACCTAATACAAGACTATATACAATAGGAATGATTATCAAATATTGTCCAGGAGGAATAAGGGATAATGACCTAAGCAAGATGGAACTACAACCAACACAAACAACACCAAACAAGAGACATACACTAAAATACTAAAATCCAGAGAAGTCTGGAGCATAGGTAAGTGGCACATACAGAGATCATTCCAAAAGGTGCCCTATCCTGAAGAAACTGAATCTAATACTTAATGTGTTCTAGCTAAGATACAAGAAGATTGTAACTATAACTGTTAGTCTTCAATCCCATCAAAGACCTGAGAAGGAATATAATAATACCTGAGAAATGGAAGATGGATGCAAGCAACTTTCCGGAGTCTTGTGAGAGTAGACAGAGACAGCTGGCAGCCTGGACAGTCACCTAAAGTTTCTCAGCATTGTTGGTGCATTCAAATTGGCTACAAGCCTAGAGTATCTGTCAGACCATTTTACTGTCAGCAGTCGAGGCAAGGGCAGTTCTTTGCCCAGTAGGCCATTTTGTGCCAAGGTGAAGACAAACTTCCAAATGGAAATGTCTCAGAAGTCCCACATTCTCTTGGGATCAGATCAGTGCTGCCAGGAGCAATTGTGTCTCACGTCAACAGAATTCCAAGTTATCAAAACATTTAAATGTCATATTCTCTAGGTCTGTGAAGTGTTTGAAGACTACCTATCCATCTGACATATGTTTCTGTAAATCTAGACACCCTAACTAACATAACTATAGAGATGACAAGCATAGGTGACTATAAATCTGTAAGTCTTATCTACCTAGATAACCTAAGGACTAAGGCGTCACATAAACAGGGTAAACAGTCTGTAAGTAAATGTACAGTAAAAGGAAAATGATCTCAAAATTGTGACAGTACACAAAATAACTAAAGCAGAGGTAGGAATGTATAGTACAATATGCAATATGACAATAATCCTAAATATGTAATCAATATACCAAATATCCTAAACAGAGGTAGAACATACATACAGTATGACAAATATAATTTTACATTTGTATCAATATACAAAATATTTCAAATAAGAGTAAAAATATATGTACATTTCAACAAATATGGTTCTGTATTTGTATCAATATACAAATTATCTGGAATGAGAATATAAAAATAGTTTATATTTGTGTCAATATACAAGAATCCATAACAGTGCAACTTATCTAAAGCTGATATTTTACTAAGTTTACTAGTATGTACAATAATCTACCTTAATATCCTATACCTATCCCTTCTCTTTTTTTTTCTTTTCTTAAGGGGAATACTGAGTCCAATGTTTTCTTCAACCCCCAACCCTACAACCATTATCCATAGCCCTCAGAAACATGAAACCTTTGTGAAAAGGGAGCATCGTTTTCTTAGAATTCCTTCCCGCTATTCAGGGGGTGATGGTATCTCTGTGGAGTTCTGTAAGAAAGCTCAGATAGTTAAGTCTCAGTTGGACTAACAGTAGATTCTGCAGTCAGTCTCAGAGTAATGGGTAAGGTTGCCTGAGATTCTGGCTAGAAGTGTAGTATGATGGACCATCTTATTATGGAATTATCTTGGAGAGTTTTCAGTCTGAGATTGATCATTGAGTAATGTTTGTGAGTACCATGGCATCATTCTGGACTGGGTAGAGTTGTTTTTGTGGGGCTCTATCTTCCTTCTGAAGACTCCAGAAATTGCTATTGGAAAAGACTTATTTTTTACTGTGAAAAATATGAACATTATTAATATCAAAATGGAAAGTTTGGATTTAAAGATGACATGACATGTAAGAAAGGATTCCAAGAAATGAAAAATAAGCATGGAGAGAAATAGAATCTTGAAGAC